ACTGGTGTGAATTAGGTCCAACTGGAACCGTACCCCCCCCACCCCCACCACACACACACCCCTCTCCTAGTCCTAATGCCATGTGCTGACACAGTTGCTGCTCTCTCTCCATTTTTCTGTTCCTTTTATCTTAGTACTCCACACACACACCCCTTCTCCATATTCTTTGCAGACATTTTCCCCTACTCCCCTTCCTGACACCCTCCTCCCTCCTGCACACACCCACACTAGAAGGCTACCTGCTGCTGCAGGTGAGGAGTGACCAGTGGTGCCATCCAAGGCTCAGCTGAGTGCCAGGGGAACAGAGAAGAGGCACTTGGACTGGCAGACTGCTGCCTGCAGCCCTGTACTTGTGAGCTGCCCCCATAGATGTGCAGGGAAGATTGGGTGGCTTTTAATGAGACATCTTGCAAACATGGTAGCTTGTTTGCAGTCTGAGGGTAGGAGGCAGGAAGTGAAGCTGGGGTCCTTTCCCCATCCTCTTTGATCCTCTCCTGTGCCAAGCCCTGAACTAGCCTGGCACCCCCGTCTCCAACGGCAGGCTTGTCCCTCAGGTTGGGAAACACACACAGGTCTTTAGTTAAGAAAGTATAGCAGTGGTTCTCAACCAGGGGTACGTATGCTCCTGGGGGTAGTCAGAGATCTTCCAGGGGGTACACCAACTCATCTAGATATTTGTCTAGTTTTACAACGGGCTACATAAAAAGCACTAGCAAAGTCAGCATAAACTAAAATTTCATAAAGACAGTGAATTGTTTATACTGCTCTATAGACTGCCCACTTAACTATAAGTACAGTATTTATATTCCAATTGATTTTATCATTATGGTAGAAATAACAGTCAGCAATTTTTCAGTAATAGTGCGCTGTGACACTTGTATTTTTATGTCTGATTTTGTGAGCAAGTAGTTTTGAAGAGAGGTTAAATTTGGGGAACGCAAGACAAATCAGACTCCTGAAAGGGGTACAGTCCTCTGGAAAGGTTGAGAGCCACTGAAGTATAGCATCAATGTAATGTCTATTGGCAGACTGTATCGTGCTTTGGCCATTGGACTCTTCCAGCTCTATAATCTTAAATACACTAACGCCATCTCCTGCCCCAGGTCATTCAGCTGCAGAATGTTGGCCACTCCTGGGACCAAACTGCTGCCCAAGGTGGGAAGGAGCCGGTGGGGAGGTGGGTTTCAGCACTAACCTTAATGGCTGTGTTTGATCCTAGGCCAAAGAGCGAATACTCCGAAATTGACGAGGATGAGGCCCAGGCTCCCTATGACCCCAATGGAAAGCCAGAGCGGTAAGGAGCTGGCTCTCTGCGGCAGCGCATGGGCAAGGAGGAGGGCATTTCCAAACGCCACCCAGCAGCGCCTCAGCCCGTTGTCTGGGCCTTTCTGGTGGGGTTCGGTGACTTTGCAGAACGATTTGCCAGCCTCGGGAGCTGGTGTTTCCTGGGCAGTAGGTTAGGGCCCATTGATGGAGTAGTGAAATGCAAGCCAGGACTGGCTGACTTCTCCCTCCAAGAGATCCTGCCCTGTCAGAGAATGGGAATCACTCAGTGGGGCAGTGCAGGACTCAGTGAGCCTCTCCTCTCAGATCAGCTGGGTGGGTGCTTTGGGGCTCATGACAAATCACTGCATGGTCTCCAAGACGGGGCAAACCAGCAGAGCTTTGTGGAGGGCTCTCATCTCCTGGGGAGGAGGAGTCTCAACTGCAGTAATCCCCTTCAGACCACAAGCCTGTCCCAGGTAGAACAATAAACACAGTAGCCCCAGGTAACAAAGGAAACACAGTAGTCCTGCCCCAAGCCTACTCTTCCCACAGAGAGGCTCCAGTGTGTGGTGGTATCCTGGTCCACAGCTGGGCTGGGCTGTCCTTCAGGAGCTAGCACAAGAGATCTGCCTCTTTCCCAGCCTCCACTGAGCTGAGCTGGCTCTCTCCTTTTCACTGCCCCCTCCATGCCTGACTGCTCCTGCAGGTGAAGCAGGGCAGGGCAGATTAACCCTTCCCCGGACAGGGCGGGGTGTGGATAACCCATCACAGTGTAAATGAGGCTTCTCTGGAGGCACCAGGAAGGACTAGAATGAATATGGAGACCCTGGTGTCATCAAAGGCTGGCTGGGGAGTTGGGCGAGTGGTACGGAGCTGTCGCGTTCACGTTCAAATTGAGCCATTTGTTCATCTTCCACTGGCTTCTCTGCCCTGGCACTTGAGTACAATGCTGTCTACGATGAAGGTGTTTGAAGCTGGGCAGGTGAGCTGAGACTCTGGGACATCCTGGTATCCCCATTTCCAGTGCTGAAATGACTGCTAGAGAGTCGTACTGCAGTAGTGGCCAAAGCTGCCACCAGCCCAGTCAGATCCAAGCCCATTGTGCTCGGCGCTGCATAGCGATTGTGAGCAGGTACAGAAATTCATCGCAGAAGCTCTCTGAGCGATATGCAGTAGCCTGTAAACTTACAAGCCGTCATTTTGGGTCTACAGCTGCTGTTGCAAAGGTGGGTGGAAAGGAAGGGCTAACAAGACTCCCAGGAGCCAAGAATGAGATCTCCCTGCAGTGAAATACAATAGGGTGGAAACACATTGCAGAGAGAAATCTCCAGTTCTTTGCCTTCCTGTATAAGAATCTTAATCTCCTCCAATACCCCCAGGTTTTATTACAACGTAGAGTCCTGCGGCTCCCTGCGGCCGGAAACCATCGTCCTCTCGGCACTGTCCGGGCTGAAGAAGAAACTGAGCGACCTCCAGACCCAGCTAAGTCACGAGATCCAGAGTGATGTCCTGACTATAAACTGAGCCCTGCCCCTTTCCTGCAGAATCTCCCCTCGTGACCAAGTCACACTGATGAGCGGCACGGTTCATGGAGCCACCTGCTTTTTTCCTGGGACGGGGCTAATCGTAGCCAAGTGAACGTGCAGCCCTGCTCCTTGTGTGCTGAACCTTCAGGCCTTTCTGGCACTCAACTGGTGGGGATGTGATGTGTATTGAGACGGCTTCCCATCAGTCGCCCCTTAGAGCATGGAAGCTGCTCTGGGGAAGCAGGGGCGAGATTTCCAGCATAGTGCAGGGACGTTCCCAGGTGTGGTATATTATTGTAATGGGGAGTGGGGGGAGGGGGGGCGAATCTGTGTAAATGACCCTATCTCTTGCCTGTTGTCACTGGACTCTGGCCATCCGTCGGTTGGGATTTGGAAGCATGTATCTCAGCTCAGTGCACAGCTGTATCCTGTTCGTTATCACGCTGAATAAAGCCTTTTTCCTACGTTCAGCCGTCCCTGAAAGCTTGTGGGAGGAGAGGTCCCAGCCATCAGTTCTCACCACCAGACATTCACGGAATGAGGTCTGCTTTGGAGGACTGGCTGCTCTCTTTGCTTTCTGCTGCTCCTGACGTTCTCTCCTATAGAAATCAGCCCCCAGCCCTGGCACTTGTATATAACGTGGCATCTGTGGCTAAGGTGAGTCTGTCTGAACCTGGGCTGCTGCAGAAGGCAGTGCTCCAAGAGAGACCCTATGTGCCAAGAAGGCTTAGCTGGATGTAGACTCCTCGGGGGTGTGCTGTGTGTGAGCAGTATGTACCCTGTATGGGGAACGGGGTAGCTGGGTGCCTGTCACTGAGAACCCCTCTGATTCAGCCAGCGTCAGACCTGGACAGTGCCGGGAGATCAACACCTATCAAACCGTCACTGCAGGTGCCAAGGCTGAAATTCCCCCAGACACTCCTGGCCTCCCCCCACCACTGTCACCCAGCAGGACTTTAACGATGAGTCTAAAGAAATGCCATTGGCTGTCTGTGATCTGTGTTTAATTACTCCAGTCAGAGAGGAGGGGCATTCCCAGCGCAGCGGCCAGGATCAATAGAGATGGAAACAGGCAGAGAGCAACTTGCTCTGGTCACACCACAAATGTGTGGTGCAGGGGTCTTGGCTGGGCAACACTGCCTCCATGTCCAGGCCTGAAGTGTAGCTTTCCCCTGATGCTTTCCTGCGGCGTGTCCTGGATAACCAAGCCAGGGCGGGGGATAGACTCATAGACTTTAAGGTCAGAAGGGAACATGATCATCTAGTCTGACCTCCTGCACAACACAGGCCACAAATCTCACCCACCCACTCCTGTATCAAACCTATGTCTAAGCTATTGAAGCCCTCAAATCATGATTTAAAGACTTCAAAGTGCAGAGAATCTTCCAGTAAGAGCCCCGTGCCCCACTTAGTAGCTCCTTGCCCTGTGAAAAGAAGAGGCAGCATGTTTTCCCGGTGGGGTGGGGTGAGCTCTGGATCCAGCCTGTAGGGTTCAGAGCCTGTAATGTGCCTGAAAATCCACCCATTGCCTTACCCACCTGGGGATTCCGCCCCTTCCTTTGCTTGCGAACAGCCCAGCCTGGGCGCCTGCCAGACTGTTCTAAGCCCTTGTCTGATGAAGTGAGTTCCTAATGGGGTTAGGAATGCATGTACCAACGCCTTTCAGTGGGACTTGTGCGCTTGTCTTGCTCGTGTACTTCTGAAAATTTGAAAATTACCCCCAGCGTCTGTTCTGAAGAGCGCATACGGAGCTGCAGGACAGCTGGGAGCAGCATTCACCCTGTTTGGGGCAGTCTGGGGAGGGGTTTAGGATCGTTTGAATCACTACAGTGATGGATAGAGGATTACATAGCTCCTCTTTCTTTAACCGTTAAGTGAAGATGATTCAATTTGGAAAAGACGGCCCCCTCTCCCCCACTACTCTCTGCTTTAAGGCTTCATTGATGCTCACGTGAAATGGCCTGCGTAGTGACCCTTTACACACTGCGGCCTTGGATCTAATTCAGGCTTGGAGTGTTTCAGATGTTAGGAAGCCTTCCCTGATAATCAGTACATTTGTCTTCACTGCACCATTATTCTTATGTACCCCTCCTTGCACCCTGTAGCGTGTCTGGAGTTAGCAGACAAACGGGAAGGGTGAGTAAAGTTTGTTTATTGATTGAGCAGTTCCTTTAAAAAACACAACATTTTTGGCAATAACTGCTATGTCCCCTCTTGCCTGGCTTAACGCAGCTGTGCATCAAATTCCTGAGGCAGCCTGGTTCCTGCTCAAGCTTTCACCTGTCCCAGCACTTAGCAGCGCCACGCCTCCAAACCTCAGGGCAGGGCCTGTCGTTGGGGGATAGCCCAGCACTTCGGCTCTGGTCTTACCAACACTTCTCAAAGTTGACAGTGTCTCTCTGCAGCGATGTTTTAAAGGCACAGGGCCAGAGACTCCGTGTACTTCCATTAGAACCACAGCTGAGGACTTGGTCTGCTCCTGGAGCCTGAACAAAAGCATTTGACCCTAGTGCCTAAAACAAGAGCTAATAGCCAGGGAACCCAGATAGGCATTTAGGCTAGGAAATGATAGCAGGTTACACCTCATCTGTGAGGACGTACATCCATTAAGCTCATCTGATCCACTCTACCACAGAGTATGTGGTCTAGACTTGAACCTGGCTGGTTCCTGTCACTCTAGACAAGTGTCGTGGGGAAAGAGCACTGAATTTAGTGGGGCTTGCAACAGGGCAGTTTGGACAGTCGCTGGGCTTGTGTGCCAGGACTTTTCCAGCAGATCTGTCTGAAAGGTCTTCGTCGTCTTACTCATCATCTACACGCACAACCAGAAAACAAGAGTATTTACAGGTGATAGTCCACAAGGTCTCCCCATCCCCAAGAGACAGTACCTTACGCTTTAAAAACCAACCAACCAACCCAAGCGAGGAAACCCCTAGCGTTGGTACTGCAATAAAAAGATAGCCCTTCTGAAAGGTATTCAATAAATAGCAGAACTAGAAAATCAATTGCTTTGATTTGATTTCAGCATATTAAAACCAACTTCCACATGCCCAGGGGTTCACTAATTATTCTCAGGAAGTGACCCACTGGCACCATGGGGGGAGGGAGGAGCTACAAAGAAGATTGAAATGGGCCTTGGGCTGCACTCCAGCCCTCTGCCAGCATTGGCTCCTTGAGGCTGTGGGGCATCTAGTGGAAATGAAACCTGGGTCCCCCACCATCAGCTAGAAGCACAATGTCCCTTACAAGGAGGAAGCAAGGAGGAGGTCATGTGACCAACTGATTGTCTCTGGCTAGCCTCCTGTCAATGGGATTTCAGCATTGCTGCAGGTGAGAGCGCCCCAGAGGAAACGGGGGCCATTGGCTGACCCGGGGAGGTAAAAGAAAGGGAACTTCTCAACACGGACGCCTCCCAACAAGGCTGGCTCTGCCAAACAGGTAGATTGGGCAGGTTGCTACCGTAGCTTAGAGGCAATGCAGTATTTAGTGGCTGTGTATTAAGGGTGGGAGGGGTGTAGCCCTGCCAGCCTGTGCAAAACGAGGCAGCCCTGTAGATGCCCCATCCCGTGTAACTAAACTGCCGTGCTTTAGCTATCTCGAGAGAAGGGCTTGGTTTGGAAGGGAAATCCATGCTGCAGCCACTTAGCTGCTAGAATCTGAACTGAGGACACGCCGCTAATGGAGCGAAACCCCGCTCAGCCAGTCCCCAGCCCACTGAGAACGCCGCCCTCCGGAAGCTGGGGGCGTTTGTGCAGAAGTCACAGTTCGGAAAGAAAACCAGTTTCTCCTGAGATGTCAAAGTTCCACGGTGTGTGTTCTGGTATCTTCGAGAAGTGCAAAATGAGCGGAGGCTTGCAAGTCCCCAATGCTCCCTCTCCCAGGGAAAGCACTACTGGATTCAGGAGGGAGCATCCATTCGCAGCCTGGGCAACCTATGGGACTCTCCGGGGCACCTCTGCCCCTAAAGGAACAGGCCGGATTTGCAGCAGCCTCTCCAAAACGTTCACTTCAATTGCCCCACTTCGAGTGACACTTCATTGCTCCCACTGGCTGCCAACAATAACTGCAACCGGTCGGCCACTTGAGAAAACGCCGTCCTTCCGCTCTGAGCCTTGCTGAGGGGATCCTGGGGGATTTCCCTTCCCAGCAGAGGCGGTGGGGCGTCTGCTCCAAATGAGGCTGGATTTCCCGCACGATGCCACCCTAAGGAAAAAAGAAAGATCCACCCACCCAAGAATTAAAAATCTCTGGTGTCTCATCTTCCCCGTGTCTCTTCAGTGGCTAAGAAACTTGCATTCGTGTGAGAAGGAAAGTCTCTTAATATAGAATATGTATAAGCAATAGATATTTAAAATCGTTTAACAACGTAGAGCTAGACATCATCTTCCCTATCGTTAGCTCTTCATGCTCGGTCTGCAAGAACGGCATGGCCAGGGCTTGAGTTCCAGACCACCTGGGGCCATCTCCAGCCTTCTTCCCAGCACAGAGGACCCAGTCTCACACTTTCTCCCTGCAGGCAGGAGCTCTGATAACTTCTCCAAAGAGAGGGGAGTGTTCCCAGAACTTCAGCACCCTCAAGAAAGGAGGGGAGGGGAGCACTGGAAAACAAATGTCTCCTGCACTTAACGCCCCCTTTCTCCAGCATGGCCTGGCCCGGGGGGGGGTCTCTCACTCAGAGCACGGTCACTGAGAAGCAGACTTGGGCTCTTTGCTGTCGCTCTTGCCGCTTTTTGCAGGCTTTGGCTTCAGTAAGATGAACCTGTTCAGGAGGTCTGTGTCCGAGCTGGCCTGGGCCCCGGAGTACACTTCACCTATGGACAAAGCAGAATTTTGTACTGTTTCGTGGTCCTCATCAGGGCCGGCGCTTCCACTAGGCGACCCTAGGCGGTTGCGTAGGGCAGCAGGATTTGGGGGGCGGCATTTTGCCGCCCTCGGCGGAAATTCAGCAGTGGGGGGGTCCTTCCGCTCTGGGTCTTCGGTGGAAATTCGGCGGCGGGTCCTTCACTCGCTCCGGGACCTGCCGCTGAAGTGCCCCGAAGATGCGGAGCGGAAGGACCCCCGCCGCCAAAGACCCCAGGCCCCCTGAATGCTCAGAGGAGGAGCGCTGCTGCCTAGGGCGGCAAAAACCCTGGCGCCGCTCCTGGTCCTCCTAGTATTGCAAGGTGAAGTAAAGGAACCTGTCATGTCCTTCAGTGCCTCCTGCTGGGGGAGGCTAGGACTGGACTATTATGGAGCTCCTGCAGTAATCTCTACACCGCCTCCTGCTGGAAGGGGCTGGGACTGGAGTAGCCGGAAGCTCCTGCACAGCAGCCCACTGGGAGAATCTGGGCTTTGAGTGACTGCCAGTGCTCTGACCGCATTCCCCCTCCAGTGGCTTCAGGGATGAGAAGCTGGGATGGGAAGCACAGAAAGCTTCACCAGCCCTATACAGCAAACCAGCCCCTTCAGTAGAGGCGGTTAGCGAAGCTCTGGGATGGAATGATCCCACGGCGCACAGGAGGAATGACGGAGACACTCACCGGCGTAGCTGGAGGACTCGGCGATGTTCTGCGAGCCGGTGATGTGGTGCCAATAGGCGCTCCGGGGTAGCATGGTGGTGGGCGTGCAGGGATAGGAGTAGTGTTCTGTGCCCTTGTTCAGCAGCTGGAGCAGAGAGACAGAAGGTGGTGGGGACTATTTTAAACATCAGCCTGGAAAATCCAGTTGCTTTCAGCTCCACCGAGTTAAATACAATTATTGTCTGGCCAAGGTGGCGTGAGCTGTCGGGCCTGAGAACTTTGACAGCAGCCACTGGAACTCTGTCTGGGGCGTCGTCTTTTGTAATCCCAAGTGTGTCGGGTGCCTGGGATCAGGAGAGATCAATTTCTCCATGTGTCACCTTTATTACTTGGGCTCAGAAACCTTGGGCAAAACAATGGAGCACCCGAAGCCCCCTGGATTCCTCAGCGTGGAAGGCGACATGGCCGGGAATTGGGACAGGAGCTGCAGCACTCCCAGATTCTCCTGGGAACAAGTGGCATTGGCAGAGACAGGGCGAAATCCTCCATGTTGCTCCATGGGGCAGCCCAGAAGCACTGGAGAGCTATAATACGGCCCAGTGGGAGCACAAAGGGGACTGCACATGACTAGACAGTCACGCAGCATCCCTTGGGAAAGGTGCCTTGTCCTCACAAGGAGTGCGGCGAGACCACTGACCTTCCTGTGACAGACCTGTGCAACGAAACTAAGCCATGGGAAAGTGAAGAGTTTGCAGATGGACTAATTAGAGATTCCGTTGTTTGCGCTGTAATGGATAACGAGGTTCAAAGAAGGTTACCGCAAGGAATGGACTATACTCACAAAGGACTGGGGCGACTGTATTCCAAGAACAAGCAGCGAGAGAACGGAAAATGCTTTCAAAATGCAGAGCAAGGCTCCCTGTAGGCAAGGGTTAATGCCGTAGGGCCCATCCCATACTTTGCTTCATGAAAGCAGCTAAACCTGGTCAGCCAATCAGCTCCCTCATTTTGGCTAGATTTTCATAGCAGCCGCCTGTTTTTATGAATGGAGACGTCCCCTCACGGAGGGAAAAAGCCCATGGACTGTACCAATTTCATTGTTGGGGGGGGGGGGTGGACTGTTTTTCTTATTGAAAAATGAAATATAAACCAACGTGCGAGTGCTTTTTAACCTGTTCACAGGGCTTCCTTTTCCTTTCTAGGCTTTTCTGGGGTGCTTGTCACTTTGCTGTCTGCCATAGCTGCTGGGGTCTGTTGCTCGGAAGTGGTTTTGCTCCCTGGCTGGGTTTTACCTGCGGTTTGTGGAACTGTGCTGGGTATTAGCCAGTCAGAGAGTTCGCTATAGTTCCAAGCAGACGAGACAGGGAAGCGGCCCTGGAAATACGTTTAAGCCCTACGAGAGGTCAGGCATTTCAACGTGCACATCAGGAAAAGAAAACGCCACTCCTCACTGTGGTCCCCATCCATCGCAGCACACGAGTAAAAAAAAGTTAAGCATTTGGTTTAGTCCCAGTGACTTCATGCTTCAGTGCTTTGCTGGACCAGGGCCTATAACATTAACTCATCCCCATGTATTTGTGAGCTCTAGGTGCGCTGATCACGTGTAGTGATCTACATCAGTGGTTTTCAAAGTCCCGTAAGCGGTGCTGCCCGGCTAACGCAGGCTAGTCCCTACCAGTTTTGACACTGTGCTGTGCCCTGGAAGCAGCCAGCAGCAGGTCCGGGTCCTGGGGCAGGGCAGACCATGGGGCTCCATGCGTTGCCCCCACCCCGAGCACCGGCAAGAGCCACGCGCCTCCGCCTAGGAGCCGGACCTGCTGTTGGCCGCTTCTGGGGCACAGCGCGGTCTGCAGTGCCAGGACAGGCAGGAAGCTGGCCTCTGCACCCCGGCTGCACCGCTGACCAGGAGCTGCCCAAGGTAAGCCCACGCCCCAGCCCCAATCCCAGCCCTGAGCCCCCCCCAAACCCAGAGCCCCTTCCTGCACCCAAGCCCCTCCTCCCTTGCCCCACCCCAGAGCCTGCATCCCCAGCCCAGAGCCTCTCCCACACCCCAACCACCTGCCCCAACCCTGAGCCCCCCCCAAACTCAGAGCCCCCTCCTGCACCCCAAAGCCTGCATCCCCAGCCCAGAGCTCTGACCCTCTCCTGCACCCCAACTCCCTGCCCCAGCCCAGAGCCCCCTCCCACACCCTGAACCCTTCATTCCCAGCCCCACCCTACAGCCCTCACCCTCGCACCGCAACCCTCTGCCCCAGCCCTGAGCCCCTCCCACACCCCAAACCCCTCATCCCCAGCTCCG